TGCCCAGGCTAGTCTCAATCTCCTGGCCACAAGCAGTCCACCCACCTCAGCCTCCCAAAGTGCTGGGATTACAGGTGTGAGCCACTACACCTGGCAGTTTGGCATTTTCTTATATAACGTTAACTATACACTTGCCATATGACCCAGCAATCTCACTCTCTTTCTTTCTTTCTTTCTTTCTTTTTTTTGAGTTGGAGTCTCACTCTGTTGCCCAGGCTGGAGTGCAGTGACACGCTCATGGCCACTCTAGTGTTGACCTGCTGGGTTCCCGCGATCCTTCTGCCTCAGCCTTCCAAATAGCTGGAACTACAGGCATGCACTACCACACCCGGCTTATTTTTAAAAATTATTTAGTTATTGTAGAGATGAGGGCTCACCAAGTTGCCCAGGCCGGTCTCGAACCCGTGGGCTCAGGCAATCCACTCGCCTCAGCCTTCCAAAGTGCTGGGATTACAGGCTGAGCCACCAAGCCCGGCCTCACTCTATTTCATTCCTAAAGAAATGAAAACATTCACAAAAATACCCATTCACCAAAGTTTACAGCAGTTATGCTCATAGTTCCAAAAACTGTAAATGACCCAAATGTTCTTTTTGGACGAATGAATAAACTGTAAACACAACAGAGTGAGACTCCAACTCAAATCAAATGAAAAAAAAAAAAAAACTGTAACCACCCGGTGGAATACTGCTGAGCAGTAAGAAGGAAAGCAAAAAGAACGCACATGTGAGTCTCAGAAGCATTAGGGCGAGTGAGAGAGTCGCCTTCCAGATGTCTCACACTGTAGGATTTCGTAGGACATTCTGGAAAAGGTGAAACTGAAGCCATCAGAGCACATCTGTTGCCAGGGACTAGGAGGAGAGGAAGGCTGTGACTAGAGGGTTGGCAGAAGAGGGCTTTGGAGGCTGATGGCCCCGGGCCGATCCCTAGTGGCGGTGGTTACGTAAATCTACACAGGTGACAAAACTCAGAGAACTAACCAGGCGTGGTGGCCCACCTGTCATCCCAGCACTTTGGGAGGCCGAGGCGAGGACTGCCTGAGCCCGCGGGTGCGAGACCCGCCTGGCAACTTGGCGAGACCTCGTCTCCACAATAAGTCAAAAACGAGCCGGGCGTGGTAGCGTGCCTGTAGTTCCGGCTACGTGGAAGCTGAGGCAGAAGGATCGCCGGAGCCCAGCGGGTCGAGGCTGCCGTGGCTGGGAGTGTGGAATCACACTCCAGCCTGGCAACAGAGTGAGACTCCGACTCAAAAAAAGGAAAAAACATTATTATTGGAATACTAGCAACCATTGTCTTAAACACTGTGCTATTACTTGGGTAAGTTGTAATATAAAAGTTTATTTAAACCACCAGGGAACCTCCTATTCTCCCATCCTCCAGTCTCGTGTCCACATGTCCTAGCCTGAGACCCCTCAGGTACTCGGCTGGCCTCCTGGCCAGAGAACACTGATGTCTAGAAGACGGTGGTCCAGAAACTGCAAGCTTTCTAGATGGTGGTAGTGAGGAAGGGACAGGAGGGAACAGGCACTGGGAGAAACCTAGAGTAGCACCCATTTCCTTCCAGAAGATGAAGTCTTCAGGGGGTGGAAAGAAACCCTGAGGGGCAGCGAATGGGTGAGGAACTCAGTGCTGACCCGACTCACCTCGTCTCAGCGACAGTCAGGGGGCCTGGGCCCAAGTGGGGTGCACCGTCTGCTTCTGGGCCCTCGGAGGTACCTTGAACCCAGACATGGAGACTGAGAAGACTCAGAGCCATCAGTACACGCTGTGCGACTCTATTTTTAGAGTCAGAGTCTCACTGTCACCTAGGCTGGAGTGCAGTGACACACTCATGGCAGCCACCGCAGCCTCGACCTGCTGGGCTCGGGTGATCCTTCTGCTTCAGCCATCCAAGTAGCTGGAACTACAGGCTTGCACCACCACGCCAGGCTAAGTTGTTGTTTGTTTTGTTTTTTATTTTTTTTGAGTTGGAGTCTCACTCTGTCACCCAGACTGGAGTGCAGTGGCCATTTCTGGCCACCGCAGCCTCGACCTGCTGGGCTCTGGCGATCCTTCCGCTTCAGCCTTCCGAGTAGCCGGAATTACAGGCACGCGCTACCATGCCCGGCTGATTTTTTTCAATTTATTGTAGAGATGGTCTCGCCAAGTTGCCCAGGCGGGTCTTGAACCCGCGGGCTCAGGCAATTCACTCACCTCAGCCTCCCAAAGCGCGGGATTACAGGCTAAGCCACCGAGTCCGGCTTCGAACCCACGGTCTCAGGCAGTCCACACCCCTCAGCCTCCCAAAGTGCTGGGATAACAGGCTGAGCTACCGAGTCCGGCTGGGCCTGACCCTTGCTGCTTTCTCAGTCCCTGGAGTGACCTTCCCAGACCTGGGAGCACAAGGGCAGGAAGGGACGTTGGGCTAAGTGGACTTGGAGTGTGTGGCCACAAGCCCAGACTGCTGCAGTCGTACCGCAGGTCAGCTCCCACTTCGCCTGGCAACCTCAGTTTATATGACGTGAACTCTGGGTAGAGGAAGAAGAAGGGGTATTATAACAGAACCTGGGCCATCAGAACAGGAGAGAAAGAAATCCCCAACCACAAACAGGCCACAGTTCAAGTGACCCCAAACACTGGTTTCTTTTTTTTGAGTCGGAGTCTCACTCTATCACCAAGGCTGGAGTGCAGTGGTCGCTCCCGGCCACCGCAGCCTCCACCTACTGGGCTCCGGTGATCCTTCCGCCTCAGCCTTCCAAGTAGCTGCAACTACAGGCGCGCGCTACCACATCCAGCTGATTTTTTGATTTATTGTAGAGTTGCCCAGGCGGGTCTCAAACCCATGGGCTCAGGCATTCCTCTCACCTCAGCCTCCCAAAGTGCCAGGATTGCAGGCAGGCGCCATGGTGCCTGGTCCAAACATTGGCTTCTACCTGTTAATCTGAGGGGCCGAGGCAGGGGTGGGGGATGCGGATGCAGCACGCGTCTCGCCGTGTTCCCAGAGCCTCGAGGACCGCGTGGGGCGGACACGGGACTGAGGCGGGGCCAGAGTCGTCAGGGAGAATCGAGAGCAGAGCAGCCGTTTGCGCCTGTCACGTCAGGGGCCTCTTTTGCTGTCACTCGATTCCCACCTGACGTCCCCAGGCCGGTGGACTTGAGACCCGTTTGCCCAGCAGGCTGTTGAGAGGCCTCTCACATGCGTCTGTGGTCATGGCTTGGGCTCTATTACTTTGCTTCATCTTACACCCAGTGTCCGCCTCTCCCGACTGGTCATTTTCTGGGGTGGCGAGTCTGCCCTTGTCCCCTGGCTGTTGCTGGGCCAGGGGCCGGAGGGTGCTGTTGTGTGAGGCCGGGCCCAGGTGGAGAGCGGCTCTCTGGAGTCCTTCCTTTCTGTTCCCCGCCTCGCCAAGGGCCGACAGTTCAGGATGTGCGACGGGTCACGCCGCATCTGCCCCGACGGCCCCGGGGGCTGATGAAGCGTCGGGTGGAGGGGCAGTCCTCGCCCTCGAGCAGAGATCCAGCCTTGTTCACGTCCCTGAAACCCAGAACCGGACAGAGCTTGCGGAACACTGACTGACTCGCCCCGATGGGAGTCAGGCAGCCCTGCCCTGCTCCAGTCCCCACGCAGAGCCCGACCTGCGATGATCCGCGTTGCCAGGGGGGCACGGGTGGCAGCCTGAGCTTTGCGGCGAGAAGGGACCCACGTAACAGGTCGGGGCGAGAACGCCCCGCCCAAGACCAGGCCAGGTACGTGACGGGGCTGACGCACACCTCCCCAGCCCGAGGAAGCAGACGTGTCCTGCTGGGCAGAGCACAGACTACGCCCAAAGGTGGGGGCTACGGACGCTGAGGTCCATCGTCCCTGACTCGCAACCTGGGTAGCAACGAACAGCCTACACCTGCGTGACTTCTGGGGCTCCTGGACACAGGCTCCTTCAACTGGTCAGTCAGCGGCCCTGATGACGCTTGCGACTGCCCTGGGCCAGGAAGTCCGTGCTGAGCTGCGGCGCTCACCTTCCTCTCTGCTTGTTGGGTGAAAGAGCAAACCACCCTTATCCTCGAGTCTGTTTGTCCGTCAGACTCGACAAGAGCTCAGGGCTCAGGTGTGTCTTCGGCCCTAGCAGCGAGAAGCCCTGAAGCGTCTACCATCATCAAGTAAGTTCCCAAGAGGGGGTGGCCCGTTTGGCTGGGCAGGGCAAGTGTGGGCGCCTTGGGAAACGTGAGCCCCTAGTGCCTCCCAGCCCTGCTCAGGTTCCAGCTTCGTTTCTTCTTGGTCTCCTTCCCTGGGCTCAAATTCGCCTCAACAACGGGGGGCGAGGGCTTGAGAAATGCTGCGGCCTGAGTTCTTCCCCTCACGGCCTCTGTAGGGCCGTGTGGACTCCTCCTGGTCTGGGCAAGGAGTGTTCCCGCCCACACTCCAGGGCACAGCCTGTGCCCAGCAGCAGCAGACTCCTTAGGCTCCTGGGTGGGATGGCTGCCCCCGAGCTTCCAGCAGAATGGGCAAGAGCCAGCCGCTCCTGTTCTCCCACCCCTGCCAGTCCCACTGTCATCACCACCGGGATGCCAGGCTTGAACTCTGGGTGAGACGGGGGCAGGTACGAGGGCAGCCAAGGAGACAGGGTGGAGGCGACCCGGAAAAGATCAGGACGGCCAGAGTCCCACATGCTCTTTTCCATTCTCCTTTATTCCATAAACACCTAGTTACAAGTGACACAAGTCAAAAAATAAAGGCAGAGAAGGGTGCAGGAAGATTTCTGTGACGTGTGGGTAGGAGCAGGGAGGGGTAAGGAGTTGGGAGCCAGGCCGCTCCCTCCACAGCCCCGGACAGGGCTACGGCCCCTCTGGAGGCGCCAAGGAAGAGGCAGGCGGGGACCCAGGGGAGCTGCGGGGTCGAGGCGCCCCGGCCAGAGCTTGCCCCGAAAGACCCCTCAGCGCACGGCGGGGTGGAACGGGGAAGCCTCGCGGGCTCAAGGTGGAAGGGCGAAAGGAAAACTCAAGTTAGTGGGACAGGAGAGGGGGTCGTCATGGTGAGGGGATCGAAGGAGGAAGAGGAGACCAGGGCAGTCCAGGTTCTCCTAAGGTCCCAGGGAGAGGCGGGGCCCTTGCCTGTTAATTTAACGAGAAACTGGGGTGGGATTTGGAGAGGAAAAGGTTACTTCGGGACGCCTTCTCAGCCTCTCAGTCTGTACCTGGAGGGAAGAGGTGAGCACAGTCAAAAGGAAACGTGACGCCCCGTGCCAGAGAACACACTCCCCACGCCACCTGAGGGGCCCACGGTCACGGCAGCACTTGCTGCAGCTGGGCCTGCTCTCTCCTGGGCAAGGAGTCCCCCAGCCCCCGCCTCTGACATCTGCCACCCCTGCCCAAGTACTTACAAGCAAGACTGAGGGCCGAGGGCCCTCACCAGTCGTAGCGGCGGGACTGTCGGGAGGGGGAGTCCTCGGGGCCCTGGATGGCCAGGCGGGGCGGCCCCTCAGCCCTCCGCGCCCCGCCCCCTGACGCCTCGTGCCGCCGGAACTCCAGCGGACGCGGCTGCCGGAACCGGGACGTCTCCCTCCGCCACTCGTCGTCAAATGCCGCAGCCTCGCCTGCAGGGGACAGAGCGGTCACGACGCCTGGGCACCCGCCTGCAGCCGGGCTCTGGAGGCAGAGGCACGAGCGGGCCCAGCCTTCGAAGACCGAGGCGAGGCGAAGGTGGGAAGTCTGTGTGACGTGTGGGGGCAGCAACTCGCCCAGCCCTTTCCCGGGAAGCCACAGGCAGGCCTAAGGTGCGACTCCCGGACAAGGACATCGGGAATGGGATCACCAGGCAATTGAGGTTCCCAGCCTAAATTAACACTGGCTGGCTTGAAAAAAAGAATAAAGGGAGGAGAGAGAGAAGAAGAGCGGACCCAGGCGGAAGAGGAGGAACACCCCCAATCTGACTTCGGCGAGAAGTCTGCTCCTCGCTGGGGGCCACCACCAGCACGTGACCCGGGCCCCAGCTGACAGCCCCGCGTGGCCCCAGGAGCACCGTGTACCCCTGGCTCAGGAGCCGGCCCGGGGCTGCCGGCGGGAAGCAGGGGCAGACTCACTCTCGTCCAGGTTGATGTAGTCCTGCCGCTCCTCCTGGTCCCCCGTGCGGTGGTTTCGCGAGCGCTGCAGGATGTGGGCCCTGTCCCGGATGTGGTGCCCGATGGACATCTGCTCCAGCCCGCTGTCTGAATCCCGAACGGTCCTCCGTGTCTCCCGGATCTGGGCGAGGCAGGACGCGGCACGCTCGGCTGCCCTTCCAAAGCCCCGGCCACGCCGCCCGGGGCGCACGCGACCCACAGCCCGATCCCGAGGAGACAAGCCAAGGTTCCTGTGGGCGCCTCAGTCCGGCCTGCACCGGGGCAGGGCCACCACTCACCCCGCCTGGTGCGGAGCGCATCTCGGACGTCTCCTGGTAGACCTTGGGGGCGCCGTCTCCCGAGTTGGAGTAGGAGATGACAGTGGAGGACGAGAAAGTCTGGCAGTTACCACCAGCGGTCAGGTGCTCCTGAAGAGGAACCGGCCGGGGCCGAGTGGGCGGCAGCACCCGGACAGGGCTTCGCCCGAGCGGCCTGCTCCCACCCGTGTCTTCCTCGCGGAACGGGAGGACCCAGAAGGCGTCGGGACTCGTCACCACCCCCACTCCTGCGAGCCCAGCACACCCGGGAAGGCCGAAGCCGCGTCCGCGTTCGGCCCGAGCAGGCACGGGTGCCGTGCTCCCTGGGCTCGCGCCTCCAGCCAGCGGAACCGGCCCTAGCCACCCTTCCCGCCTCGGACCGGGGTCGTCAGCGCCGCTGAGCACAGGCTGGGCCGGGACAGCGGGGGCCTCACCATGTTCCCAATCATGTCGTTCACCATCCCGAACATGTCCACGAAGCCGCCCGACTGGAGGAAAGGGGTGGGAGCCGTCAGGGGGCCAGCCAGGCCCAGGGAGGCCTGCTCGGTGCCGCCAGCCCGGCCACACGGTCCCTCCCAGCCCTCGCCCACGCCTAGCCTGCTCTTCCGCATTCTTCCCCACGGACCCACCGAACATTCATGCTTCTGCCCCTCCGCCCGGGTCTCCTGACGGCTGCCCCCGCTCCTGATCTTTGGGAAGCGACTCCAAAATAAACGGAGCCCAGCTTCCTAAGAGGCAGGGCACGAAATGGCTAACCCCTACTGAATTCTGCCTGCCTCCTCAAAGGAACAAACTTTGCTAGGCAGATACGTCTTCCTAGAGGGTACGAACTCCTAAGGATACAGGAGTTAATAGCAAACATCTTTTTTTTGAGTCGGAGTCTCACTCTGTTGCCCAGACTGGAGTGCAGCGGCCGCTCCCGG